CCGATTTTGACTAACTCCGAAATTATCGATTTATGAACACACTGTAGCTATCCCCCACGATCGATAAAACCACGATATCAAAACACGATTCAATACGAAGTTAAACGTACGACGTTATTAGAGACTGTGATCTCTGTGATTGCTAATTAAACACGTCGCGGCACTACTCGATTGTAAGGCTCCGCCAGTATCTTTAATCTGTGTTCCAAAAACGACGCGATAGCAACTTTACTCCGAAACCGTGCGACACGTACGACGGCGACGCCGCGACGCGAGTCAAGTCGACGGTTGAGAAAAGCAAAACCGATCACCCGAAAGAATGTCATCGAATGCGATATACCTCGGTATCCGTACAAATTCCGCGAAGCACATGTATTAAATGAACATTCGATATATGTCGGAGTTTTCCGTAATCTCAATCACCGGCATGCGGCACCGGAGTCCGACGATACGTGTTACTCCGCGTCTGACTCCGCGATGTGATCACGTGATCCGAGAGTGATCCTGACGTCACAGCGGGTTGCGGGCGGTCGCGCGCGCCGCGGTAAACATGAGAAGGGGGATTGAGTGGGGATAGGCTGATACGCATACCAAACGCGCACCGACGCGCTCCGTGCCTAGTCACTCTATCCCCTCACCATTTTCACCGCTCGTGTCGCCGCGGCGTCCGCGACTCGCGACTCCCTTCTCACGTACGTTGTTGCTCTCGGATCGCATCGCGGAGTAAATACATGTGTATCGTCGGACTCGGGTGCCGCATACCGGTGGTTGAGATTACGGGAAAACTGTGATACATCGAGTGTTCATTTGATACGTGTGCTTCGTGGAATTTGTACGGATACCGAGGTATATCGCATTCGATTACATTCTTTCGGGTGATCGTGATCGGTCTCGCTTTTCTCAACCGTCGACTTGACTCGCGTCGCGTCGGCGTCGTCATGTCGCACACGGTTTCGGAGAAAAGTTGCTATCGCGTCGTTTTCGGAACACGGATTAAAGATACTGGCGGAGCCTTACAATCGAGTAGTGCCGCGACGTGTTTAATTAGCAATCACAGAGATCACAGTCTCTAATAACGTCGTACGTTTAACTTCGTATTGAATCGTGTTTTGATATCGTGGTTTTATCGATCGTGGGGGATAGCTACAGTGTGTTCATAAATCGATAATTTCGGAGTTATTCAAAATCGACTGACAAGCTGCAAGTGTGACGTTGTCGCGGCGCGGCGGTTGCTCCTGGCGAGTGAAGTTGGCCGTGCGATTCGCGAAATTCTTTCCGCCATTTAGCGTCTACCTGCGGAATGTGTCGAGCGTCACGGGCGGCAAGCGGATCGTAATAGTTTTGTACGTAGCTTCTTCGACGTAATTCTTTCGTCGCCGTGTAACAAAGTACGCGCCGCGTCGAGAGATTAATACCGGGAGTGCCGTGCAAAGTGTCGAAAGTGTCGCGCGATCGCGTAAAGCGACGATAACGTCGATTTTCGTGTACGTCGTGAGTGAATGCGCCGATGGAGAGCGAGGACCGAGGAGAGGAGGAGGAGGCCTGGGAGGCATCGGGCGACAGCGGGGCAACCGTGGAGTAAGTAATTATTCGTTACTATATTATTTTATTGCTGTCCTCTGTGGCGGATTCCGTCACTTTTTCAAGCGCGACTTGATTCGATCATTATGTGTGATACTCGTTACTTCGAGGTTTAACTCCGGCGCAATTTCGCAATTTCGGATTTCGATCTCCGGCATATGCGAGAAGAAATATTACGTCGCGAGCGTCGCGTGTCTCTCTCTTATTCGCACGGTCGTAAAATCAGATATCTGTTAAAATAACGTTTTCAAAATTTAACGGGCGCGATAATCAATTATTTCTAGTATCGATTATCTTAGACTCGTTGCTTTAATGTAAAAATATTTTTTTGTTACAGATCGACGCAGGGTTACGACTTATATAACTCCGCTGTTGCGCATCGGCACCGGTGAGTTATTTTTTTATTTTAATATCGAGGCAAATATTTTTGAATGAATGCCTATACGCCCTATACCAATCTGTTCGGAGTTATAATTGAGCAAGAGAAGCGATCCGCTACTCTCGTAATTCGTAATGATAAATCGTTAACCGTCCGCGGCGCGTCGTAAATCGTAACACAGTAAAGTTCGCGCTTAATAGGGAGGAAAGGCGAGAAGTTACGATCTTGGCGCTCGGTGTGTTTTGGCGAGTGGTATTTTGGTTTTTTGCCGGTTCTCTTTTGGAGGATGCAAGGGGGATTAAACGATCCGTCTGGGTGTAGAACGCGGTAGTACGTCATTCTGTACACCTCGTAAAGAAACGCGGTAGAGATCTAAGTACATTAAAAAGTGCGATACGAATAATAGGGATTGCGATTGACAATGTCGAATTCTTTCCCATTGCTACGCGCATGAAGCTGCAACCGACCATGACTTTTTAAAACTGTTGGAACATCGATGGGAAGGCGATGGTGAAACCGGAGCCTCGGACTGTGAGTAACTCTGATAATACGCGTGTACGATTATTTTGTTGTATTGTGATATATTTGGAATAATTTTGTGCCGCAGCGTCACGATAATCGAATTTCAATTTCGATATTATGTCCGCGCGAATTATATAATAATGAATAGGATTTATTCTCATCTATTTTGTAGCGCGGCATTATTAAAACTTGGTATTTTTCACGTGCATAATTTAATTATTTCTTATTATGAATATACAAAGAATTATGTTGAAGAGAGGGAGGGAGAGAGAGAGAGAGAGAGAGAGAGAGATTTATATATTATATTTAGATTATGATTTTAATATTACATATTAATTACAGAAATTACAGAAATGTGTTTTTTAATTATATTAATAATTATATAAATAATTATTATAATTATTATTAAAATTTCTATTTGTACGTGTTAAAACTCGTTATTTCGCATATATCTCAAAATGTACATACGTTTTTTAAAGCATTCACACAATTCCTGGAATATATTAGTTTTAATTTGTAGGCGATCCATTCGAATTTTCGTGACGTTGCATTCTTAGTTTTATTGCGCAGATTGCGCTTATATCTCTTAGGTGTCTCTCTCTTTCTCTTTCTCTCTCTCTCTGACTCTCTCGAGACAACGTTAGGATAATATTAAATTCAGGTTTCTATTTTCGTGAGAGTAACAATCGTCTCGGAAATGATATTTGTTCTGACAATTTTCGAGCGTTGTAGAGTTGCGAGCGCACGTCCGTAGCAGACAGTCAATTTATGTAACCTCAGTTTCGTATTATTATAATATATTTATCTTTTATTTGTGTTATTATATGTTACATTTGGCACATTTATCTCGTTTAAAACACGTGCTTTGACATTTTCTCGAAGCCTTTCGAGACTTTTATATTTTTCAGGAGAAGCGTTCTGTTTCGTTTAATTTAAATTTACAATTCAAAATGCTACTTTATAATTAACTGAAACCTAATATCGAGTGTAAGTCATTTGTTGAATTCTATTAATCTTGTGTCAGTTTTGTCTTTTTATTTCACTTGCTGCTATTGTCTGCTATTACATGCATATTACAAAATCTTGTCTGATTAAATATATATACATAATATACGTATATAAAAAATTAAAAATATATATATATACATATATTATATATAATATTTATGAAAGCGTACACAACTAAAAAAATTTATCAAAAATCGGGAGGGAAAAATAAAAAAGCTTAGTAATATTGATATTTTATTGACAGAAATGCACAGTCAATTATTTCTCGCTTGTAACAACGATTCGTTTGGTTTGGCGACCATCGATCGTCGTCAGTCATAGAAGAAGAGTTAAGAACGCTAGCATAGGAAAAGTTAATAGGACGAATGACTGAGCTTTCAGGAAGTTATAGGGACCAAGTCAAGAGAATTTTATTCGAAGCGACCGCTGGGTACACCGTGTCCGTCATAGATCACGGGGAAATCGTCCGCGAAGATTTAAGTGGTCGATCTGCGCCCGCAGCTGCGAGCAGTAACGCAGCGAGCGGGTTACAAGGATTTTCTCTTAAATCTCAAGTCGATCGCGTCATCGTGCGAGCACACGTTTGAAAACGTCCGTTTTAGTCCTTTCGATCAATAAATGCCGGGCCTAAGAACCCTCGAAGGAAACAAACTTTTCTTATAAAATAAAAACTGAATATTTCTTCGTTCGATTGATTTTGTCACACTCACACATATGTATAACGGTGATCAGAGTAAAACAATAAAAATTTGTTTTTTATCTATTCCGTTCACGTTTATTTTAGCAGATTTTAGCTTGTTTTGTCTGCATTGACGATTTGCGTTTAACGAGGTAGAAAGACTCAATTTATAGACTATGAATTATTCCCTTCGCCTGTGTATCTAGTCTCGAATTCGCCAATTTTTATTCTTATTTTAATTCCAATTTCAATCGTCAGAATTAAAAGTAAAGACTCTTTATTCGACCTAACTGGCTATCTTTATAATCGTCGTGACAATATGACCGTTGGTTTTTGTCAATTAATCGTCAAATATGAATCGTATGTCACGACGATTATAAAGATAGCCAGTTAGGTCGAATAAAGAGTCTTTACTGTTAATTATTTACTGGCGAAGTAAAAATTTACTTATTCCATCGGAATTAAAATAATATAGATATTTGTTATCGAAAATTTACTGTAACGGGAAGAGATGAGCGAAGAGGGTATTGTAATGTAAAACAAAAAGGTAATATAATATATATATAGATATATATATAGTTATTTCTGAATTCTCGACTGCGTCGACAAGCCGAATCGATAACCCAATCGGAAAGCGTCATAAAAATGTTGGGATCATAAAAAAAGACGACTTTTAAGCTTAACTATAAAATAGGGACAATATAGACTGAACATACAAAATTGCTCTTCTTCTTTGAAAGGATTGATATCCTTTGAAATACGTACAAAACATCGTTTAATTGCATGTTGTGTAATCCACTGCAATTTTCTAATTATTGCCGACGATCTTACCGGAAGCAACGTACGGCGGCCCCGAGTCACGTTATGCTCCCGATACAGGATGCATGAGGCAGGCAACGTGAGTGTACCGGCAGCGAAGACATAACCGCTGAGGACGACGACGATCCTCGAGGGCTCGCGCGCCAGATGGATCATGGGTAGCCTAACCAGGAAGCACCAGACGCCGGTGGACAGCAACGTGCCCGCCATGGTAAACAGAAACGTGCTGGAGAAGAAGAGGTAGAAGCTCGTGCAGGACGCGGTCCCTTGGTGATTCTACGGCAAAGAATCCAGAGGATCTACAGGGTGTTCGGTTACGGTCTCGTCTTTTCCGAATTTCCGTCTTGCGAGAGAATCTCCATGGGACATCTCTCCACAGAATGTCCCATGAGGAATCTTTCAGAAATTTGGAAAAGCAACGATAAAGAATAAAAGATTAAAAGTAATAGGAAACAAACAAATTTTTGCAATTCTTAACTAAAACAATCATATAATTATAAATATGATCTCTTAAAATGGTTAAAAATTATAATAATTGTCGCAATGTTGTCATATTAATTAAGCTGTCTAATGTGTTTTATTAATTATTATTTAAATGCTTAATTTTTTTAGTCGTAACTTTCGAGTATTGAATATAATTCTTTTTACTTATATGTATACGTTAGTTCGAATATAGTTAACAGACTTTCAAAACACTTTATGCTTTTACACGTTTAGAAAATATTATATAAGCGCAAATGCAAAGTTTCTTACGTTTTCGTTCAGATAGGATCATATAAATTCTATATTATTGGAATATTAAAAGTGATTCCTCAGTCTTTTCAAAGGAGAGCTATTTCACACATTCGATTTGTATTATCCCTATATTATGTTAGAGATTCACAGATCGTCTTTTTTATAACGCGAGTATATTGTTCTTTCTTTGATAGCTCATTGAAGTGAAAACAATCAGATTTCTGTTGTGAAAAGTGAAACATTAGAGTCTCAAGAAATTCTCTGTGCTCAATCAATAATTTGGTCAGTAGATTTCTTATCGTTGATTACGATCGTTTTTCATCTAGCTGTGCTACGTTCGTGTTATAGATTGTTGAAATGATTGGTCGATTATTACCTCCACATTGTTACGATACTATTGATAGATTTCTCTAATATCATCGTGCGTCTTAATCAATTTTACTCTTTGCCCTACAAATGAAAATTTCTATAAATATTAATTAAAGTCAACAGTTATTTTCTAATTTCTCTTTCGTAAAGAGAAGCAAAGGATTAAATCACACCTCAATAAACGTAACTAATGTTTGGCGCGAACACAATAAATAAGACAATATTTTTTCTCGATAAATCTATAAAGTCAATGCAGCGTTCTTCATTACTTCCAATACTCTCGTAACACTGAACTTAACGTGACGCAGGAAAACCAAAGTCGTTGATTCTGATATAGATATGACGATCGATTCTCCTACGCGAGGAAAAGTTTTGGCAAATTTTCATTTCGTCGAAAAGTTTTCGCGGCCCATTGAAACTTTAGGAAGATTGCGCAGCGCGGCGATTCCTCAACGATATATGTTAATTTATGTGCGAACTGCATTAGATCTGTAATGTATTCAGTATTCACTTTTCGAGTAGATCTGGATTATGCTCCGATCCATCTCGCTCGGCGCATTATTCTTTCCTCGCAATATAATATAACCCAAGGGATTATTCCAATCGCGGAAAAAATTTCCATTTTTCGAAATTATCGACATTGACAAAACTCGACTTATTGTTAATGCACTTTTAATAATGCAGGGAACAATACGTCCAATCTTATCAAAGCATATATAAATTTACTGTATCTATTTTATTTTAATTAAGCGAGCGTTATTATAGCCACATATAATGAAAGCAAAACGTTGAAAGAACAAAATATTATAAACTTTTGATCGATAATTGTGTTCTGTTCGAGCACTTTTACATATCAAAGCTTAAGGTACATACTTTATGTAGGTAATAAGAAGAAAATCGTTTGATGAATAGCCATCGCTGTTTATTTAAATAAATATTTTATGGCTAACACTTATGTGCGCGCTTTCAGTCGACAAAGCACAAAGCAGACAGAGTTGGTACTTTTTACCTCGTTATTTCTTAGTCGTGAAGACAATTTTATATTTCTACCTCGGTGAGCTCGGTGAAATCATAGTTCGAGAGACGTAAAGCTATGTAAAGTCCGATTTTAACTCGTCCGACTGAAGCGAACGCTCTGGAAAAGTCGCAAAAATAATTAAGGACCTTTGTAAGTTTGCATGATTCAAAATGCGTCTATCTCTTCTCCGTCTTGCGCTTCGAACGATCTTCGAGCGTTCTCCGAGCAGAGCGATCGGCGAGGAGCTTTGTACATTAGTTAGTTAGTACCCTTTCTTCTCGACTGAATCGCCTATTGTTCGGAAGAAGTGGACGAAGCTGTAGTCAGTGTGCGAATTAGATGTTCCGAAATTAAATCGGCCGGGACGAAGAATGGTCGCGACTGGTCTTAGTTACGCGGATAAGATAGAACGAGGATGTCGGGAATTCGCCGTGGAGAAACAAACGTACTCTCTACTCCGGCTACTTCGCAAGTTGCTCGGTAGAGACGCTTGAGCGAAATTTCATGAAAGAAAAGCGGCGGACGGGGGAGAAAAAGAGAGAAAGAGCACCCAAAGAAAACGCGAGTTCGTATTAGCTCCTTCGCTTCTCCCACGCTTCTCCAGATCGAGAAACAAGTAGATCGTAAAGATTGTGTTTCGGTTAACGCCCGAAATCCCAAGGCGGACGGTTACGACGCAACGCGATGATGCGGACATAAAAAAACAACTAGCGCGCCGTGGATGCAGCTTATTTTTACGCTCGTCTTCTCTTACGGACGTTTCTTTAAAAACCGTTGCTGAAAATCGAAAGTCGAGAGAGATCTAGGTCGAGGTTTAGATTGTAAAATGAAACCCTCCGACAGACCGTTCGGGGTGATTCGAACGTTTCGCCAGATATATGTATAAGACAGATAATATCGATTCATAGGAAAGCTCCGCGCGCGGAGAGGAGTGACGCGTCCAATTATCGGCAAGGCTTTTCGGCTCGAGCAGCTGCAGTCTGCGCTTCGGATATCGATCCTCTTCCTAGGATATCAGCTGGGATTGGTGCGGCGCGGGCGCGCGGCGATTCGGCAGGACAACTCTATCTCCCTCGGACTGTCGCGCGGATAACGCGGGAACCGTCCTAAGCTGTTATGTCGCGTTTATGGGTATTTGACATTGATTCCGATTTTGCGGCCGGATTGGATTAGCTTGATTGCGAGCGCGAGAAACGGTATATACCTCGCGTCTGCTTTCTGAACTTAAGGGAGAGATTGGCGTATCGGTGCCATACACGTATCAACCATCCTGCCGTTCTCTGCACGCCAACTTCGTCAAATATTTACCAGGTGCAAAGTACGAAGTTTACGCTTCACCTGTTACGGCACGCGCGCACTTACATGCGCTGTCACGCGAACGCGTTCGCAACAACCGCATAACCGTTTCGCTAATGTATCAGTCTTTTAGATATTTTTTAACAAACGGCTGTGACCGCGGAGAGTAATTCGTTTAATGTTCTCGGATTTTTATCGCGCATTTGCTCCCTGTTGCGCTCCTAAATATTTCACAATGATAAAGGAACTAAATATTTTTGTAATGTTTCGTGTATGCTCACACTTATATTTATTATGTAGGTTGCAGATTAATAACGTGAGATAAAATTTTGATATTTAAAATTCGGGGAAAAAAGAGAAAAATTTTGGAAATTATAAATACAAAATGCAATCATTATTTCTAGATACACTCACAGAAAAAAAAGAAGTGTTAAATCAAGACTTATATACTTGTATATACGCAAGAATCTTGAAATTAGATATAAATTGCGTTAAACAAAGAAAACTTGTTTGAATGAAGGTATTTATATAGTTCAATCAATTAGAAAAAAATGAAATAAAAAGTTGAAATCCTTATAAGAAGATTACAGATTCTTGCATATATACCGCGCGTATATGAATCGTGACACTTTTTTCTGTGCTATAATACAGTAAATATTTAATCATGAATATTGTAACGTACAATTAATTTTAGCACAACCCCTTCTCTTGAACAAGCTTATTAAATATAAAGACCCGAATTCTAGCTATGTGTGTATATGTATATACGTGTGTAACAACCTAGGATCAATAAATTCTAGCACGGTACATCTCTTGTTTCATGCGTTCGCATCGGAATATTCCCGTGAGTATTCCCGACTTTGTTAATTGCTAATTATAGTACACCGTGAAATATTAACGACGAAATCGAAGTTATCGTTATCAGGAATGTGTATGTATATCGCTCGTTAAGAACAGCAATTAAGATTCGCGAGTTAATCGAATCCAACAAAAGAAGAGAAAAGTTGTAAGTTCCAACCCAAGTACCCTCCGAAAGATATCAGGATTGATTATTTCCATAGCGTTTTCGAACAATTATAAACGTTATCTCGATTAATATCATCAATTAATGTGCATAACGAGAATTGCACGTTACTCGGGTTCTTTGATCATCCCAATCTAAGTGTTGACGCTACTACATCGTATTCAAAGGGCTTTTCTGAGACACCAAACCACGAGCAGTTTATGTACTATATACGGCGTTAATTGTCACTTCTTTAGGTCGACATTTCCTTGAAGGCTTTGTGTACGCTCTTGCGCGCAAATGTTGTTACTGACGTAACCATGTGAACCTGAAGCCAAGTATCCGCACATGCATACAGACGCACACTAATAAGACTCCTACCCAAATTATACTTATAATATTTCAATCGATTTCGAATGTATAGGTTCATCTTTTTCAAGCTCTCAAAAAAGTGCACACTGCTGTTGCACTGATTCCTTTAATTTCTCTTCAATAGTTACATATATTTTTAGATATAATACGTACCCCGTGCGATACATTTGACTTTAATATTATTGTTTATCTCAAATGAAATTTCTATATAGATGATTTCTTTTTAATTTCGAAAAGCAGTTCCGATTACTTAAAGATCGTACTGTACGTTATTGTAAATTTAAATTGCGTTAACCGAGCGTAGCGTCCTTAATACATTCCCCAAACGGTCGGTGATGTATGCCCAGGCAGGATGTTCTCCATTTCCCGGGCCATGGCGTATGCGGCTGGGAAGCTAGAATGACGGAACGGGCGGGGTTGGAAATGGGCGGATGACGATTAACGAACGATTATTAAGGTGGACCCTTATCGTGGTAATTGCGC